GTAGTCCCCCACTACCACCACACAACTCCTAATAAGAGCCTAGGCCAGCAATGGAGAAGCCCCACTTAGAGCAGTGGGACACCAAAAATACACGAGGGAAGGGAAAATAGCAACAAATGGCCATATAAGTCCTCAGGGGAACACACATACACAGAGAAAATTTTCATAATCTCACCACAAAAGCATGGAAAACATTTTCTCCCTATCAAATACAGAACTCAAAATTTATATTATAAAATATCTTTAAGAAATGGGAGACTAGGGTGTCTCCCTGTTGGTGCAAGTGTTTAAGACACAGCACTATAAAGCTATCCACAGCCACTGCAGCACGAGTTTGATCCCTGGCCAGGGAGCTGACCCATATGGCACAGTAGACCTCTCCTGTCTTGCCTGCTGCTCCCCTCAGCAGTGGATTTCAGTAGATCTGCCTGTCCCCACTCTGTCTCTGGTGAATCCTCTCACCCCCCACACCTCAGTTCTTGTGTGCATAAATAAATAAAAATAAATCTTTAAAAAATAATAAAAACTTTAAAGTTAATATAAAAAATAAGATACATATTTGAGACTTATCATTGGGGAAATTTTAAACAAACCTTAAAATACACAGCCCATAACCTGAGAAATTATGGATTTTAACATATGAAAATTAAGGATAAGACATCATAATATTAATGTATAGATGACAAGTTACTAGAGGTTATTTGCAAAAACTAAAAATTGTAAGTGGCCAATGATGTTATATGTAAATAACGAACTCCTAAAAATAAATGGAAAAGATAGGAAACTTAAGTAATCATATGTACAAATGATAAGCAGATTAACCAAAAAGGAAACCCAAGTGACACACAAAAATATCCTCATTGAGGGGATGTTGGAAATTACTAGTAAATATGAGTAATGCAAATTAAAACAATAATGATCCACCACTTAACACTCATCAAAGTGATACAATTTAGAAAGCAAGGTAATGCAAGCAATGTAAGGATTTGTAGTGCACAAGGATTCCTTGTGTGTAGCTGTGGATGGCACTGGGGAAGATGACAGCATTTTGAGTATTAATTGCATAACTTATAGTTTTTGGAATGTTGGTCTTGCTTTACCTATCTTTAATTTTTCTTTGAAGAAATCCCTTTTGAATTTTAGGAAATTACAGGTCAGGAAATCTGTGGATAGAGAAGGAGAGTCCTGGTGGTAATGGGAGAAGTTGTCTGAAAAAATTTAGTTCTTAAATCAATTTCATGAAAAAATACTTAGCACCCTTTATCAATACATCACACATCTTTTTTTTTAAAGGCTTATTTATTTACACAAGAACTGGGGTACAAGCCAGAGGTGCGGGAGGGTGAGAGGATTCACCAGAGACAGAGCAGGGAACAGAACAGGCAGACAACCAAAACCACTGATGAGGGGAGACAGGAGAGATCTATCACGCTATATGGGTATCTCCCTGGCTGGCAGGGAATGGAACCCATGCTGCAGAGTCTGTGGACAGCTCCACAGCACTGGGCTCAACCCGCTGCGCCACCAGGGAGGCCCCAATACATCACATGTCTTCTAGGACATTAAAGTATGATTCCATTTCAACTGAGTCCTAAAAGTTACTAGCAAATCTACCTCAAATCTACCCCTTCTGATCTCCAACTTATGCATAATACACAAACTGCATATTTACAGAATTAATTCAGAGACTGAAGAGAAATTCTTTAGTGAGAACTGGTGTACTGTAAAAGCTTTGCAACCCCAGAATGAACACGAGTACTTCACCTTAACTTAAGCTGAAAGAGAGACAAGTCAGGGAGCTTGACACTGCCTCTGTAATTTTAGAAACAGAAAACTGATATACTCTGATATGCCAGAGCAACAATTAACTACAGAACTGCATCCACTCTGCTTATGGGGATAGAATGGAAGATGTTTCTAAATGGTCAGATATGGTTTAAGAGATAGGAGTCCACATGGAGCAATTTTGATTCCACATGAGGGTTTGAAGCAGATCTAAGATGGCATCAGAAGTGCTGGAGGACAATCAGATGCTCAGGGACTGAGGCAGAAGCCAGAGTTGCAAATAATAAGACCTGTGCTCAGAGGTCTCAGAGGTATGTCTTCAGGGCCTTGGCAATGTCCCACATGATGTGGGGATCTCCTGCTTTCAGGAAGCATTGTCCTTACCTACTTCGGTCCCATGAACTGGCCTTCAGGGATTGAGGAAACTCTTGGTACTCAGGTTAAAGACCCTTCATTCAGATTTTTAGCAACACAGATTCTCCAGGGATAATTATTATATACCACTTCATTGTATTAATACAGACAGTACTACGTTAGTTTCTAAGTCTGAATGGTAAGCTTTTGGTATATTTTTGACCACAGGTGAGAATTTTTTTAATTGTTTAACTATTGCTCCACTTGTCTAGAAAATATACTTTTCTGTGCAGTGCTCTTTGGATTTGGACTAAGTGAGTATGAAAGTGTAGCATAGTGTATGGACCTGATTGGCTCCCAGGGATGGAGTGAACTGTGTGTTCCGAGCTTTGGAGGTCAGGAGCAGGTGTGAGAGTGTGAATCAGGGAGCTTCCATTACTTCAGGTAATTTCAATATAGCTCAGAACGGTCTTCTGCTGGTTTATTGATTCATAAATAATAGATAACAAAATCTATAAAAAAGGAAAAGACTAAATGATACTGGATTACAGAGAATAATATCAGAAGCACACTTTGTATGACTCTGCAAGAAACAGTTTTCTCATGGATCTAATGTACTTGTGTGCCAGTTATTATTTTTTTATCTTTTGAGCTCTTACTATGTTCACTTATTTTACATGCTTGCATGTGACTTCAGTTATAATTAAGGGGTTGGATAATATATTTTTGAGGAAACTTGCAACTTTCTAAAGTCCCCCTATTTTTGATAACACTTTCATAAAGTAGCATGAAGGAAGTGAAGTCAAGTCTAAGAGTCTGCGAGGCAATTTTTCTTATGAATTTATGGGAGCATTTTCTTTTCAATTTCTTACCATTCCGGAGATGTTAAAAAATCTGGAAATCTCAGTTAAAAGCTAGAAGATAAACATCAGAATATGTGTGGCTAATGTTGCATTATGCAAAGTGTAATGTTGCCCTATATAAAACTGGTTACATTAGTACACAGAAAGGAACAGAGGATAGATAGTGGGGGTGAGAGGGAACGAAGAGAGGAAGAAAGGAGGGAAGGAGGAAAAGAGAGTTCTGGAACGTTTTCAAAAACAAGTTCGAGTGTGTGTGTGTGTGTGCGCGCGCAAGCGCGCGCGCGCGTGCGAATGAAGGTATAATAAAACTTTTTTAAAAAGATTGGTGAATAGAAAAAATACAAGCTGTCACTGTTATTTACTTAATTCATGATTAAAATTGCTAAAGTACAGAATAAACTTTTATCTTGGTAATATAACTGACATAGAGGATGATATTTGCTTGCCATTTAAGGTACAAAGAAAGAGTTGGAAATATGGACATAGACTTAATTTGGTTTGGTTCTTCTTTTGTTCTTACTAAATCATGAATATACTACCTAATCTGTATAAGCTTTAAAGTCATCACCTCTGTGGGCCTCCCGGGTGGTGCAGTGTGCTGAGCACAGCGCTGTGAAGATATCCGCAGCCTCTGAAGCACGGATTTGAGTCCCGGCTGGCCGCAGAGATGCCCACATGGCGCCGCAGGCCTCTCCTTCTTTGCCCGCTGCTCCCCTTAGCAGTGTCTTTGGACCATCTGCCTGTTCTGCTCCCCACTCTGTCTCTGGTGAATCTTCTCACCCTCCAATGCCTCTGGCCTGTACCTCAGTTCCTGTATAAATAAAAATAAATCTTGAACCTCCATTCTGAAAATATGTTGTAAATATGAAAGATCACGAAGTATGTGATATATCTTTCCACAGTGTATAACATCTAGGAAGCTAATACGCTCACATTAGTCTAAAGAATTAGCTGTTCTTTTTTAAAAAATATTTTATTTTATTTATTCTTGCATAGAAGAACTAGGTGTAGACCAGAGGTGCAGGGGATGAGAGGATTCACCAGAGACAGAATGGGGAGCAGAACAGACGGATTGACTGAAATCCACTGCTGAGGGGAGCAGTAGGCGAGACAGGAAAGGTCTGCTGTGCCATGTGGGTCAGCAACCTGGCCAGGGACTGAACTCATAGACTGAGCCCATAAGCAAGCTGATTTCATTGATATTCATTGTCCCTGTGCCTTTGGAAAACATATATATATTGGTCACAAACTTAAAGAAAATTACACTCAGATTTTCACTCTTGAAGTGTGTCTGTTTGTCATTTCTTTCACCGACGCCCTGACCACCCTGCACGCTTCTCTCAACCCTGAGGTGGCCTCATCGTCTACTGCTGTGCTGGTCCATGGCAGGAGGCCCCAAATCATGTACTTTTAAAAGAGGTCAAAGCAATCATGGCCTTTGTCTATTACCAGCTTGTCATGACTGCACAGGTATGAGCTGTAAGGGTATTTGTGTCAGACACCCTAACCATCTCATTTGATTGACCTAATGAAAAGAGACTTACCTTTTGGTGCTCCCTTATTTCCCATGTCTCCTTCACTCTATAAAATATACAAATTAAATTTTATATCATCATTCAGCAGGAATGGCTTTAAATATACAAGTGAAGCTCAAAGATTCTTCTTCCAACAGAATTCTGCAACATTCACATTTCTCAAGGAAAATATACGTCTGATTCAGACATTAAATAGAGGACATTTAGGACATATAATGTCCCATTCTGATTTTCTATCTAGTCGAAAACTGCGCTGCCTACATCAAAGATGTTATTTACAAGTGAAACACAAGCTATGGCTAATTATGTTCCTCCCGATTAGAATCTGATAGAGATGGTGATGATTCTTATTTGTAATACATCTGTTTTCTTGTATTGCAGGCCACTGCTACTGCACCATATGATTATTGTAATTTGTGTTTCTTTTGCTGAATTACCAAAGGAAAAAAAATCAGGCAGCATCATGGAAGGAAAGAATCAAACAGAACTTACAGAATTCATCATCTTGGGGTTCTCCAATCTAAATGGATTGGAGTTTTTTCTATTCACCATCTTCCTTCTAACTTATATGTGTACTTTGGGAGGAAATGTATTCATTATCTTGGTGATTATGGCTGATCCACGTCTACACACACCTATGTATTATTTTCTAGGGAATTTGGCCTTTCTTGACATCTGCTATACCACTACAAATGTCCCCCAGATGATGGTGCATCTTCTATCTGAGAAGAAGAGCATTTCCTATGGGGGATGTATGGCTCAACTTTTTGCATTCATTTTCTTTGTAGGTTCAGAATGTCTCCTTCTAGCAGCAATGGCATATGATCGCTACATTGCCATCTGTAAGCCCTTAAGGTATTCAGTTATTATGGACAAAACCATGTATAGCCAGTTAGCAGCCTCATGCTGGACTGGTGGTTTCCTCAATTCAGTGGTTCACACAGTATTGACATTTCGCTTACCATTCTGTGGCAACAACAAGATTAATTATTTTTTCTGTGACATACCTCCTTTGCTGATTTTGTCTTGTGGTGACACTTCTATCAACCAAATGGCATTGCTCACCATTGGAGTCTTCATTGGGTGGACTCCTTTCCTGTGTATTATCCTTTCTTACCTCTACATAATCTCCACCATTTTGAGGATCCATTCTTCAGAGGGGAGGCACAAAGCCTTTTCTACTTGTGCCTCCCACCTGATCATTGTCCTTCTATATTATGGCAGTGCCATTTTCACATACGTAAGACCAATCTCATCTTACAAATTAGAGAATGACAGACTAATCTCAGTATTGTATAGTGTTGTCACCCCCATGCTAAACCCTATCATTTACACACTGAGGAATAAGGATATCAAAGAAGCTGCGAAAGCTGTGGGGAGAAAGTGGAGGCCATCAACTCCCTCTTTTGACATGTAATCTTCACTTATCTGTGGTCAATATTTATATTTAACTATATATAAAAACACTAACTTTTTTTTTCAACAGCCAGATGTTTCTAGTGACTTTGAATTTACAAGCTGATTTCAGTAGTGGGACAGGTATTGAATAGTAGACTTATGAAAACCTAAGTGTACATAATCTTAAGCTTTTGTTAGTGCCAGACATCGATGTTACTCTTTAGGAGACATTTTCTTTTTATTGCTACTACACATTCCTAAGTCCCCTATCCAAAAATGGTGCCTCACTTTCATGGAATATGTGTTTGATGGACTGGACATCATCTTTTGATACTTTCTTTCTTTATATTACTCCTCATATGTTGTGAAATGTGAAAAATATGCTCCTTGTATATGTTTAATATATTTGTTATATATTTCCTACATCTCCTTATTACTTAAGTCATGATTTGCATTTTTTCTTTGTAAGTTTCTTCTTAATAAAGCAGTATCACCTATGTTCACATTATGTTGGTTTTGACAAAGCTATGTGAATGAGATTAAATTATGTTTTATCTACAGATCTGTTGACAGTTAATTTTAGTTTTATCACTGGCTGCTTGGATCAATGACAGCTTATCTTCATACTGGAAAGAGACAGTCATATTTTCTCAATACCAATTTATAGTATATACTCTACCAAAATTTTATTAGTTTGCCAGTTGTTTACATAACTAGATAATTTGGCAACACAATTTTACATCTCCATATGTGTACATGCTTCATTCACCCTGCACCAAATTTCCAGTGCCAATGGCCTATCACTTTTTCTTCCCTACGCACTCCTTCCAAACCCCCATCTCCTCTGGTAATAAACTTATCTTTCAGAGTCTAATAATCATTTTTGTTGGCTTTTTTACCAGTTTGTTTTCTTTGCTTGTTTATTTCCCACAAATGATAGGAACCATTTAGTAACCGTGTTTCACTTTATGACATTTCACTTGGCATAAAGCTCAAGATTCATACATATTGTTCCAAAAGGCATTATTTTGTCTTTTTAAAGAGTTGGCCAAATATATCCTCATTGAGTGTATGCTCCACAATTTCATTATCAAGTTATCTGTTGATGGTTATAGGTTGAATCCATGACTTGGCTAATGTAAAATATACAGCCGTGAACATAGGGGAACTAACCTCTTTTCTATTAGTGTTCATATAAAAAGTTGGAACTTTTTCTCGGAATAGGTCCACTTTACAAGTTAACATTATATAGGAAATCTTAAATGTAGGAAACAATTTTCTAAAATTGTAGAACACAAAATTAGAGAAATGAAAATACAAAATTAGAGAAATATAAAATATCCCCCCCTTATTTGGAGGGGGGGATAAAAATTCTTTTCAGCACAATAAGTAAATTTAGAAAAGGGAGTACAAACTACATATATTAAAAGCAAAGACACTAAATTACTGTCTTATGTTATTTCCATGTAATTGACAGACATGAATACAAGATAAATGTGCAGGAAAACAATGGAAGGGAGAAAAAACAGAGGAAAGGTGAAAATTTTCAAGTTAGGAAAGAGCCTTAGAAATGCAAGGAAAGGTAAATAATGCCCAATGTAATAGTATAAGATATTGGAAGACATACAAATAACAGAGGTTTGTACATGGAGGACACAAGTTGCCTAGCATCTTTCCAGTTCCCAGAACCACCTCCCTGGTTGTCTTGAATTTTGTTTATTTAAGTATTTGCCAGAATGTTCCAATGGATTATACTATTTTCACTCCTGTTCTGTCAGTTGTATCTTGAACATCACTTTTGATTTATCTTCCTAAAATGATAATATATACAACCTCCTCACCTGTTTTAAAAAAAAAAAAAAAAAAAAACTGACAGTGGTTGACATACTCTCCATGTAATTATAATTATTTATAATTAGGATTCATTTTTAAGAACTATTATCTTGAAACTTTGTGTCTTTAGAAACCCTAAATTATCCTTTTCCATTTAGGGCTTCACTTTTTTTTTTTTTTTTTAAGATTTATTTATTTTTATACAAGAACCCGGGTACAGGTCAGATACACGGGAGGGTGAGAGGATTCAGCAGAGACAGAGCAGGGAACAGAACAGGCAGACTGATGAAATACACTGCTGAGGGGAGCAGTGGGTGAGACAGGAGAGGTCTGCTTCACAATGTGGGATTCCCTCGCTAGCCGGGATGGAACCCGCACTGCAAAGGCTGCTCCACAGTGAGGCGCTCAACCGCCTGCGCCACCAGGGAGGTCCATTTTTATTTTTTCTTGACTCCATTCTATCACACAATGGCCATTCTCTTAATTTGGAATTCAAATTCCCACAATTATATCTTTAAAACCTCATTCAAAGTCTATTTTCTCCCCTCATCATTCCAAATAGAAGTGATTTCTCTTCTTTCTTAAGTTACATGGAGCGTTCTGAAATGGTATTGGGAAGAGTTTCTTTAAAATTACATTTAATTTTTTTTTATTGAAGTAACTTTCTTTTTTGTTAAAGATTTATTTACTTATGCATACAAGAACTGGGGTATAGGCCAGAAGTGCGGGGGGTGAGAGGATTCAACAGAGACAGAGCAGGGAACAGAACAGGCAAATCTACTAAAATACACTGCTGAGGGGAGCAGCCGGCGAGGCAGGAGAAGTCTGCTGGGCCTTGTTGGTTGCTCCCTAGCCAGCTGGGGGATTGAACTCATGCTGTAGTGGCTGTGGATAGCCTCATGGGTTGTGTCTTAACCCTTGCACCACCAGAGATGCCCTGAAGTAACTTTCATTTATAACTTTATATAGGTTTCAGGTGTACACCCTTCAAAATCACATCTGTATATACAACACCACTTTTACCACCAAAGATAGTTTCCATCTGTCACCATATAGCTGATCCATTTACCCAATTTGCCTAATCCCATTTCTTTTTTCTTTAGGTGATTACTGTTTTGTTCTTGTCATCTGTTTTGCTCATTTATTTGCTTTCTTTTTGTGCTACATATGAGTGAAATCATACAGTTTGTCTTTCTCCTTCTGACTTATTTCACATAGTATAATGCCCTCTAGATCAATCCATATTGCTGCAAATAAAATACTTTCATCTTTATTTAGAGCTGAGAGTATTCATGTACATATAACATGTCTTTATCCACGAAGTCATCTTAAACACTTAGGTTTATTCCAATTGTTGGCTTTGGCTATTGTGAATAATCTCTGAAGAACATGGAGGTGCTCCTACCTCTTCACATGTTTTCATATTTTTCAGATAAATGCTGAGAAGTGTATTCTATTAATTTTTAATTGTTTTACATAGCGATAGGAGCAAAATATTTTCAATAATGGTTACAACAATTTGCATTCCCACCAACAGAGCAAGTGTTCCCTTTTGGCCATGTCCTCTTTAATATTTATTTCTTTTGGATAATGGCTATCCTCAGAGTTGTGAGGTGATAATTCATTTTGATTTTGATGTTCATTTCCGTAATAAGAGATGATCTCCATCTGTTGTGTCAACACCACCATACTGATAAACGGGAGTTGTGGAGCAGGCTGCACAATGCAGGATGCTGCTGAGCAAGCAAGATCCCAGCCTTTTTGTTGATAGAATAATCATACAGTATCAGTTACATGGGGTAGGAGGACAAGGAGAAAAATATGGGTAAAAATAAAGAATGTGTTTTTTGTTATCTCGGGCTTCAGGGGGACATGAGTCGGCTGACCAGATAATTCTTAACTGCTTGAATGACAAAGTGTAATTGAAACCATACTCCAGACCCCTGGCCATAGTTCTAATCTTATCAACAAGGCTTTCACTGATGAGGTTCTGGGGTTGCTTGTCACACATCGGTCCTTGACACACCATGCATTCCCGGTCATACCTCGTGATGTACAAGTTGGGAGTAAGTTTATGCATCAATCATTAGCCCCTCATCCTTCACCCCCACTGGACATTCTTGGTCCTACCTTGTGATGCATAGCCTTCCCAGATTGATCAAGCTTTGTGCTCTTGGTTGATTTGAAAGGCACTATGTAAGGTTTGGTTATGACTGTTTGACAGGGCAGTTCTGATCTTTGTGTAGGAATGCAGAACTGCAAGTAATGGTGGTGGAACAGGCAGCTTAAGTGTAGCAGACCCAGAGCCATCTTTTCATTTGTCCATTAGCAATCTGTATGTATTCTTCGGAGAAGTCTATACAGGTGTGTCCATTTAATTTTTTTTTTTTTTTTTTTAGTTTTATGATTTACTGAGTTAGCATTGTGTTACGTTTTTGTTTGTGTTTTAAAAGCACAGGATCTCCCCCTTGAGGTATTGTTAGAACACTGCACCCATCACCCAAAATACCCATCATCAAACATCTTTTCATTTTGATTTCACTTTCACTGTGCAGAAGCTTTTCAGTTTGCTGTATTACCATTTGGTTACTTTTGTTTTTGTTTCCATTGCCATTGGAGGGATAACCACAAAAAATCACTAAAGTTGATGTTAAAGAGGTTATCACATACATTTTTATTTGCATTTTATGGTTCCGGGTCTTTTAACTAGTTCGTTTATATCTTGATGCTAATTCAGTAGCATTGATCTCTGTGTGTTTTTATTCCAGTATTATGCTGTTGCAGGCCTCCGTGGTGACTTAGGGATTAAGTCTCAATGCTATCACCTCTATGTCCTGAGTTCCATCCCAGCCAGGTAGCTAACCCACATATGGCTCAGCAGACCTCTCCTATCTCTCCTGCTGCTCCCCTTAGCAAGTGTATTTCAGTAGATCTGCCTGTTCTGCTCCCCACTCTGTCTCTGGAAAATCCTCTCACCACCCCACACCTCTGGCCTACATCCCAGTTCTTCTATGCAAAAATTAAAAAAAAAAATTAATACTATGCTGTCTTGATAACTATTCTTTTGTAGTATAACTTGAAATCAGAGAGCATGATATGTCCATTTGTTCTTTTTCTCATGTTTAATGTTGCTGTTCAGGGTCTTTTGTAGTTTCAAATAAACATTATGACTTTTAAAAAATGTTT